TTAGTTACAGGGTGAAATTGAAGCTTCAATTCTACTAGATAAGAGTTGTAACAACCCAATGCTTCACTTTCCTGTTGGATAGTTTTAGCAGTATAAAAGTGAATGATAATACATGAAAATGCTGTGAAGGTTTACCAGTCTACCCTGAAAGTCAAAATGTGTTGTTGTTAAATGTTGTTAAATGCCGTCGAGTCTGTTCCAACCTATAGCGACCCTCCAGAGGATTTCCAAGGAGTTACTGGGAAGCTGGAACCACCAACCTTGCAGTTCAAACTGACTTTGCAGTCTAACACATTAACCCACAGTACCTTGTAATGATTACTCTGAATATAGAAAAATAACATAATAATATCAATTATGTCTTTAGTTTTGTATGACAATGCATTTCTTGGTAAAACATTTGTTTTAATTTAGCCTAGACCATTGTCAGGACCCTATTGGCTTCAAAGGGTAACCCTTGGACTTTGAACCACAGGTTTAACAGGAGAAAGATAAAACTTTCTTCTCTTGCAAAAATTCAGAGCCTTGGAAACCCTATACAGTGTCACTATGAATCCAACCAACTTGAAGCACTTAAATAAAACAACAGACCATTACCAATCTCTATAGTTTAATTTTTGTTAAATTGATTTTTAATTCATTAACTATAAAATAAGTGCCTAATGTGAGGTTGGAATCCTGATGTGGCGCTGCAGATTAATGTTCTAGATTGCAATGTTAGTTTGAATGAGAAGTCAGAGATTCAAGCTCACCAGCTGCTCCTTGGAAACCCTATACATGGTTGCTATAAGTCGGAACAAATTCAATGGCATTAAACAACAACAACAATTCTTAGGTTGATAATAATTTAATTTTCTCAAAAAGAGAAGCATATTCCCCTTAGTGTACTAATTGTTTTCTTTTTTCCCTAAGGAAAGTAGATTTAATACTAGTTATAGAGGAAATATCATTGTGAACTCTACATAAAACGTGGAGTTGATTTTCTTTTTTGATGCTCTTACATTGACTGGATCATTTTTCTTGGTGAAACTTTATATTGCTAATGGAATCTCTGAAATTATATGCAAAAATGAAACAAGAAACTATGTATTGTATCCTGGACTTTCTGAGCTGAAATAAATAATTGGATATATGTAGAGATGTTAATATCATACGCAGATTTACACATTTATGAAACTAGAGAAAATTCAATATTAAATCAGTAAAATGAAGTGAGTATTTTTGATATTTTGTGAATGGACAAATACACATATAAAAATTGCTTGATCTATTTCATCCTAAAAAAATGTGCATGCCCATCTTCCTGTGTGTTAAACCTTTGCAAATATCTGTTGCAGGTAATAATGAATGTTTTGGATCCAAGTACTTGGGTTAAGTTCCTAGAAAATTGGAATATTTATAAGACTAAATAGACCACACTGATGTTAAAAATCAGGTAAAGAGATTACTTTTAGATTTTTGTTTGCTTTCTCTATTAGTTAGCTATTAAAAATGTGTAATTTATTAAAGTTATAGAGTATACATCTTAGCATTATTTTTAAAGAAAATCCAATCACCTTCTATTTTTCTAAGATAATTTAAATGTATTATTTCCTTGATACTGGTAGACTACATAGATTATATTCTGAAAATCTACTTTAACTAATTTCCTTTACCTGTTTTATACTGGAAACTTTAAGTTAATATTTGATACAGAGAAAAGTTTCATAGGTGGTACTAGGCTTTAGTAATATGTAAGAGGAAAACAAATAGAAATAGTAAAATAACCTTGTGTTTTGAGACAATCTCTAGAGTAATTAGGTCCCTTAATCTAAGTCAGTAAATGTCTGACTATGTATGACAGTAAAAATTACTAGTTCAACAAGTATTTTTATTGTCCTCATATGCCTACATTGATAGCGAATAATGTTTCTGATTCTAAGTATATGAGTCACAGATCCCCTGGGTTAATAAAAAAGGTTACTGTCCTAAACACCATATGAAGATAATTGTGACAGCTATCTTTATACCTAGATTGATAAATATATGGGTTTTAAACTTATTTGTTTCAAAAGGAGGAGCTTGGTAATATAAATGTCATATATATATACTTATCCACATGAATCATTTCTGCATTGCATATGCCAAGATGAAAATTTTTAGAAAATAGCATATCTTATTTTTAGAGGAAATATGTTGAGCATATAGCCTAATGTAGAGACACCTTAGGTCTTTTTATCTGGAGGTTATTGGTTTGTTTCCTACAAACCTTAAAAGGAAAAAAAAAAAAAAAAAGCCAAATCAGTAAGTGAAGGCGTAAAGTAAAATAGGTCTTCAATATGGAATTTAATATTTTCTGTCTCAAAAAATATTTCTTTTTATAATAGTACCTTCATTTATATGTAAAATTATGATTACCTTTTCTAAGTATTAATATATAGACAAGCTGAAACTTTATTGCTCTGTAGAACATTTGAGAATTGACAACATAATTTTTTTTTTAATTATGGTAACCTTGCTTTGAACAAATGCTATTATCCAAGCACTTTGTGCTAATGATATTAATGTTGTTGTCACATGACTTCAAGTCTGTTCTGACTCAATATGACCCTATAAGGGTTTTGGAGGCTTTAAAAATCTTTGCAGGAGGAGAAAGCCTCATCTTTCTCCCACTTTAATGTTAAGATTCTTGCCTAAAATTCATTGACTGAAATGCATCATCATTAGGAATTTCTTTTTTCAGCCTGTGGAGTAAATCTCTGGTATAGAAGAGGAAAGAGTAGTACCATCTCCCAAGTAGCTGCTGGGATTCCATTTTTAACTATTGCAGGTGGAAAATTGTGGTAGCAGAACACTGTCTTTCAGTTTGAGTTAAGATATGATTATATATAATTTTCTTTATTTATACTATACATGTTATCTGAGTCAATAAATCATTGTCTTTTCCATTAAGTAGAGGGTGACATAGAGAGTTATTTTGCATTTCGTTTTCTAATCATCTTTATGTATTCAAATTTTCTCTTATTACATTAAATATAAAGAAAATATTTATTTTTAAACAAAATCAGAGAAGTACTCATTTGCAGCTTCAGAAAATTAAAGTCCCTTTGTAAGGAGTCCAAAACATAGTCATTATAAACTGCTGTTGTTGTTAATCACCATAGAGTAAGTTCTGACTCATAGCTACTCTGTGTATGGTTTCCAGGCTCTTGGATTTGAACTTTTGAGCTTGTGGACCTTGTGGTTAGAAGTTTAGTTCTTATACTATCACCAAACCAGGATGACCATAAGCTCTAGACCATAAGTTCAGTTTGAATCACATGGTTAATGGTTCAAACTCAGCAGCTCCTCCTTGAAAATTCTATACAGGGTTGCTATGGGTTGGAACCAACTCGCCGACACTTAATCATGGCAGTAATGTATATTTTAAAAGAATTTTAAAATTAATCAAAAATAAATAATCAACAGTCATAGAATACTTAATTTTTGAAATCCTCTATTTTCCTAAGTTTTCTTAAATACACAGGCAAAAAAGTAAATTTTAAGGGCGAGTTGAATATATAAGCATGTCAGTTTCTTCCTTGGATCATATCATAAGCTATTAATCAGTTTGCTTTTATATTTTATAGGTTAAAATTTATTTTAATTAGGTATCTTTTTGAGGAAATAATATTATTTTCATATTAAATTATAATAATTTTGAGATTTATAAGCATTGCCAAATTTATGCACTCCTATTAGAAACACTTGTTGAGTGGGCAATATACAATTCAGTCATTTCATCATTCAATATTTATCTACCATTCAACTTGTGTCTAACAGTTGCTAATGACTTGTACTATTTTTATATCATGGAATAATACACACCTTCTACTTTCCTGGCACTTAGTATTGTGACACACTATGTAGAAGTATATACATTGAGATAAAAAAAACAAGGTAAAATAGAGTAATGTATTTTACTGACAGTGAGATGTTTACTATCAGCTTTCGTTGAATTGCAAAATCCCATATATTGCTGAAGGGATAGCAATGGTTTTGGTTGGAATGCAATATTTTAAATGGTTCTCTAGTTACTAAGATGGGACTTTTTTCATTTAGGACATAAGGATTAATGTTTCAATAAGTGTGCAAATACAAAGGATGCTTTTATCAAGTTTCCAATATTTAATATATCAAATTAAAATCATAAGAGTTCCAGGGTGGCTCTACTTGCTTAAGCTCAAAATTAAAATCAGAAATATTGATAATTCAGAAATACCCTGAGGAACATTGGAAGAACAACCTTCCTAAAGCTAACAGCCACAAAAATCCTATGCAAGGCAGTTCTATTCAGAGAAATATGTCATTGTTGTTAGGTGCCATCGAGTTGGCACTGACTAATAGCGACCTTATGCACAGCAGAACGAAACACAGCCTGGTCCTGGGCCAACGTCACTACTGTTGCCACACTTGAGTCCATCGATGCTTCCACTTAATCAATCCAACAATTTGTCCACAGTATGAGAGACAGAAGTTTGGCCATACTGGCTTCCAACCAGCACTCTTGCTGCACTTCTTCCAAAATGGATCTATTGGTTCTTTTGGCAGCCCATGGCACTTTCAATAGTCTCCTCCAACACCTATTTCAAAGGCATCGATTCTTCTATGGTCTTCCTTATTCACTGTCCAGCTTTTGCATGCATATGAGGTTATTTAAAATACCATGGCTTGGGTCAGGAACACCTTAGTCCTCAAGCTGACATCTTTGCTCTTCAACACTTTAAAAAGGTCTTGTGAGCAGATTTGCCTAATGCAATATGTTGTTTGATCTCTTGACTGCTGCTTCTGAGAGTGTTGATAGTTGATCCAAGAAGAATGATAAATATGTGGTCCCATAAATCCAGAATTATTTAATAGCAACTTGTACTATATTATCTTAATTTAAATCACACACCATATTTTTAAGAATGTTTTATCACTGAGCTTCTTAATTTTTATATTAACCTGAACATATGCGTTGGTTCCATTCCCTCCAGGAGATGGATGTCTATAACCTAACAGCCTTCACGGACTTCATCCTCATAGGGATCTCTGACCTTCCTAAGGTTCGCTACCTTCTCTTCATTGCGCTTACTGCTATCTATCAGATCACCTTGTTGGGAAATTGTGCTATTCTTCTTGCTATTGCAACTGAGAAAAAGCTGCACACACCCATGTATTATTTTTTGGCAAACCTGTCCCTTTTGGACATTTCCTACCCATCAATTACTGTTCCAAAGATACTCAATAACTTCTTGACCAATAAGCAGAACATTTCTTTTGTTGGGTGTGCTTTGCAGCTTTTTTTTTTAGTAGCACTGGCAGGGACAGAAGTCTTCCTTCTCTCTGTCATGGCTTATGACCGGTATGTGGCCATATGTTTCCCCCTTCATTACACCCTTATCATGACAAAGAAGCTCTGTGTCCAGCTCACAACTGGTACCTGGACATTCGGGTTTTTGCACTCTCTTTTGCACACCGTGATCACATTCCGCCTATCTTTCTGTAAATCTAATCGAGTCCACCAATATTATTGTGATATCCCCCCACTAGTGGCCCTGTCTTGCTCTTCCACATATGTGTCAGAAATACTTGCCTTAGTCCTTGGAGGCATCTCAGGGATCAGCACCTTCATTATTACTGGTATCTCTTATTTCTACATAATATCTACGATCCTAAAGATCCAGTCAGTGGATGGGAAGCGCAAAGCCTTTTCCACTTGTGCTTCTCACCTCCTAGTAGTTGGTTTGTTCTATGGTACAGCATTGTTTAATTATGTCCGCCCTTCCAGCTACCACTCCAGAGCTAAAGACAGGTTCATTTCAATGCTGAATGTGGTCATTACCCCAATGTTAAACCCCATTATCTATAGCTTGAGAAACACTGAAGTAAAAGGAGGTCTCAAAAAGATTTTATGCATAAACCTAAAACATGTTTAAAATAAACATAATATTAAGATGACAATGTCGACTTAACTCAGCAAATGGATTGCATTTATAGGAAGGATTGGAAAAGTCATAAAAATAGTAATTTTCTAGTCAAATAGGGAGAACATACCTACATATGTGTAGAAATGTATAAACACACACACTTTAGGGAACTGCTAATATTTGTAGAAACTGAGTGTATGTTAAGTACCACATTCTATTCCCATATTCATACCCATAACGATCCATCCTAGTATGGTGTTGTGGGTAAATGCACTGGGCTGTAAGATCGGTTTTAACCACACTGTTGGGGTTCAAGCTCACCCGTTGCTCCTCAGAAACCCTACCCAGGGTCACCATGAGTTGAAAATGACTCGACAGGACTTAGCAACAATAACTATACTTATATAGAACTAACCACCTATATCAATCACACATGTTGTTGTAGTTGTTGTTCAGTGCCGTCGAGTTGATTCTGACCCATAGCAAACCTGTATAGGGTTTCCAAGGAGCAGCTGGTGAGCTTGAACCACTGACGTTGCAGTTCAAACAACTTTGCAGTCTGACACATTAGCCCACAGCACTATTCCAACACCTATATCTAACTTTGTAATACAACTTTCTTTTCCTTAATTACCTTATTTGTTTACCCACTTATCCTGATTTCATTCTTACTGGGTTCTTTTAGCTCTGTCTCTTGCTCAACTTTGGTTTCCACGTATTTTATATAATTCTACCTCTCTCCCTTTCCTAGGATCATATCCATTGTAAGTTCCACTTGTCTTTCCAATGGGAGAATTTACAACATTTGCAACAACAGATATTTAATTTAGTTAATAAATTACTATCATAAGAACCTCAACATGTTAAAAAAAAAACACACAAAAAATCCCCTACCGTTACGTTCACACACATACTCACATACACCAATCTTTTCTGAAATTGCCCTGTATTTTTGTTACTTCTATATTTTTTTCCAAGCTACTTAAATTAAAATATCTTAGAGCTAACCACTTCCATTCATTGCTAATGAAGAGTTGTAGTTTATAAATCAGGATCACTCTCCATTCTCAATCCAGTCTTTTCTCTTGCCATTAATAGCAATAGAAATACATCCTCTGGCTAAAGCTTATATGATTCACCATTATAGGTAAACAATAACATATATTTTTCTCAATCATTTTCCCTTATAATTTTCACTCCAATTACTTGTGAAAGAATAGTCTCCAGTCTAGGTATCACATATAGCAATATAAGGCATTTTTCATTTCTGATTCTCTCTGAAACTCTGGCATTCAATACCATTTCTGGCCACATTAAACTATATATTCTTTTCCTTCCTTTATGGCTGAACAAGTGATCACAACGCTAATAAAGTATACTTATATTCTAAAAAAGATCTGTTCTCTAAGTCTCCAGATTGTCATTCATCTTTAACTTATTTTTTTAAGGTATTTTTAAAATGTTAACAAGTGAAAGCATTGTGCTATATGCTTTTGTTTCACAGGCCAGGGACTGTGTGTTCTTTGGGATGTACTGTTATAGGTAAATGACCTTTTCCAAAATTCAGCAGTGACCCAATTGATCTTTAGTCAACAACACTCAAGTGTATTTGTAATCATGACTGATGGAATTACCTGAGTTAAATTTTGATAGAATGGGAAAATCCACACAAAATTGAAGAAGAAAAGAAAAGAATAATGGTAGTAATAATAATGCTATTAGAGGTTTATTTTGTTTTTCAGAGCTTTCAAGTGATTAATTCCCAATCAACCCACTGATGAAAAATTGGTTTTCCACATCAGACATACAGAATCAGAATCTAACTTTTAACAAGATCACCTTGGCTTCTTGTAAAAATGTATCATATTCAGTATATCTAGGGTGGAAATACATATTTTTATCAGAAGGAATAAGCTGGAATCAACTAACTAGTAACCCTGATTTCACCCCATCATTTTACTCTTTGTAGCAGAGCTAAAATGTGAATGTGAAATAATAAATTCACAATATTAAAAAAAAAAAACACATGAAATTTGTTCAATGTAATTCCACATAAGATAGAATATGTCATTTGGTACTTTAATATTTAAATTAGACAACTTATTCAAATGAATAATCTTCATTAAATTGTTATAATGTTAATTACACAAACCACTTGAAAATAAATTTATTCCTCTCATAAATGATGTGTCTTTTAGGGTGTTTACCACAATATTAGCTTTGGGTCAAAATAAAGAATATTATTAGAAATTGCTTTTAAAAAATATAGAATGTGACATGTCACTAAATGATTATATGTAAAACAAGAGATCAGTGATTTTAACCTACATAATTGCTCCATGTGAAAAAAAACCCAACTCAGGTGATCTGGTCCCTACAGACAACATCATACAAAACTTTATGGTAAGTTCTCTTCTGTCTTGTAGATCCTATGAGTTAGAATTGATTCAACAGAAAACAACATAACTTGAATTCAAATATTCAATTTGGTTTTGTAGGGTAGCAAGATTGATTAACTCATTCATGGTAATTCTAGTTCCTTCATGATCTAAAACCAAGTTATGTCTTATGTAATTTGCTGCCTGAGCATTCATAATTCCTCCTCCATGTCCTTTCATCCAGTTTCTGATATGACCACGCCTATCCTATCACAGCTCTGGTAGCATAGTAGTAACCAATCGGGCTTCGAACCTTAAAGTCAGCAGTTTGAAACTACCAGCTATTACATGGGAAAAAGATAAGGCTTTCTGCTCCAGTACAGATTTATAGCCTCAGAAACCTTGTACAGGGTTGCAATGAATCGGAACCTAATCCAAGGCACATAACAACAAAAACAACAACAACAATCCTATCACAAGTCATTCAATGGTTCTAGTCTCTTACTGCCTCTCCTGACCATATCTCACTCAACCATGATTTCAAAAAAAAAAAAAAAAGTCCAAAACCTATTACTGTAACCAAGTCACCCAATGTTAGCAAGAATCCAAAAGGACATTTTGAACTGGCTAATAAATGTTCAGCATATGCTGACCCTGAGAAACCGTCTTCTTTGCTATTCATAAGTCCTCTCCTACAATTTGAACTTTTTGTTATCTTGATCCTGTATACAATCCCCTTTGTAGTCCTGCATATAGCTGGACCATGGTTTCCTCTCTGTAATTTATAAATTTTATTTGCTCTTTGGTCTAACTGCATGAGTCTCACTTTCTTCTGCTACACCTGGAAGACCACCCAAGACATCTATAGACCTTCTTTGGATCAAACTTAAATCTAACCCAAACCAAGTTATTGAATCTAAGCTTTAATATATTCTCTCCTCTGATTATGATTTCAAAATCTTTTGATCACACTTAGGTAAGTGTGCTTTCTTCTTCATGGACTGATTGATGGCTCCTTCAGATACCGACTTGCTTCAGGGCATCTCTTTAAGAATCCCAGAGTCCATCCTTTCTGATATCCAACCATAGACTATGGTTCTTTCACCATGCTTTACAGTAGTATCCAAATCTTCATTGATTGCTTCATGAGGGTTAAGTACTCAATGCCTCTAATTTGTGAGATTGTGAGAACTTATTGTTCCTTGATTAGACCTTACACCTTGTTCAAATTCAACCATAGAAGAATATATATATATGATCAGAAATCCTATACAGTGCTACTATTAATCAGAACTCAATTGATGACACAGAACCACTGCCATATATATATATGGTTATCTTTTTGGGTAGCATCTGAGAAATTACATTATATGTAACCCCCATACAGCTTTTGATAAATCTAATAATGGTAGTATCATTAATCTAGCCTATACAACAGATATAAATACTAATGAAAAATATATTTTAAAAAGTTTGTTGGTTAAAAAATTAACCTATATGCATTAATATAATTAAAGTGTTTCAAATCCTTTAATCTGTGACAAGTGTGCTTAAAATTGAACACAACGAAATTCAGTTTATTCTAGTGGATTTCCAAATGAGTCTTTATGCTAGTTTCTCCAATAAGTAGCAGTATAATATTTGAGGGTGAAATCAGGCAGACCTGTGAATCAATCTTCTCTCACCTATAAAAAATGTCATGATACTTTACAAAGACAATCTAAAGCCAAGTAATGTAAGACATGACATCTTGGTCACCAAACAATATGATTTTAAGATAATACTGGTAGGACCCCTCATGTTGGAGGTTTTTTAAAAATACTCTAAGAGTTCTTTCACTTTTTCTTTTCAAATGACAACCTCTTGGTCTATGTATAGGTTCCTCATGAGCACAATTAAATGTACTTGAATATCTATTCTTTACAATGTCAAACCAAACAATGGTATTTGAAATGGTTTAAAATCAGGAAATGTATGCACCAAAGTTTCATACTTTCACAAAATGTATTCTGAGAAGATAGATTTTATGAAGGATAACATGGCATAAGAATTAGAGGAAGACTCATAAATAGCACTTAATATGCAGATGAAAAAATTGGATTAGTTGAAGCAAACAGGACTTTAAATAACTGATGATGATTACAGCCTACAACCTTCAGTATGCATTGAACCACAATGCAAAGAAAACAAAATCCTCATAACTGGACCAATAAATAACATCATAATCAATACAGAAAAAAAAAATTGAAGTTTTCAAAGTCTGAATTTTGCTTGGATTCACAATCCATGTTCATAGAAGGTGCAGTCCTATTTGAGTAGCATTTCAAAAATTCCAACAAATTAAAACAGCCAAGAAACAGGCTTATCCATAATTGACAAAGCTCAATATGTCCAAAATTAACTAAAAATAATATTTTTAGTAAAAAACAACCCTGATAGACATTAATTACAGAACGATTGAAAAGTACAATAAAGTACTTCAGCACAATAGTTAACCTTGATTTTAAACAGTTTCAGCTATAATACCAAACAATCATGTTTCCGAACATCTGAATTAAGCTTATAGTTAATATTGTATAGTAATATTGCCAATCAAAATTAGTGACTTTTATGCTGCTAGATTTAAAAGAA